TGTAAATGTTGATTGTCATTTTGTATAGACCAAGATTCTGGTAAAACTATTTCTGACCATTCTATTGACTTCGGTATAGTAGTATTAGACTTTTCTATATTAGTTTGAAAGAATGTAGTCTTCCCCCTGGTATCTATTTGTATTACTTTTGGATATAAAGTATTCATAACCTTATAATATATTATATATATTTAGCAATATTTTGAGATCCTGGGGTCATATCAAAACCTTTAGTTTTTAAATTTAATGTTAATAATTTTAGGATATTAGGATCATTTATTGAGACTGAATAATTAGGAAAACAATTAAAATAGATTGGTCCACTACATAGATTGGATTCTACCATTCCTAACAATGAATCAGAAAATTTATTATGTCTGGTATCTCTTAAACATATTAGAATAGAATTATTAAGTCCTAATCTAGTTAAAGGTTTAATTGCTACTTGTATTAATCCTATATGTAGATAATTGTAATGCTTATCTTTATGTTTTTTAATTATTTTGTTTGATAGTAGTTGGAAATTTTCTTGATTACCTGTAACTGATAAAGTTTGTTCTACTGTTTTAATTACATAACCTACATTCAGATTAAAGGTGCCTTGTTCATATATATCTGATATAGGTACTTTAGGTATATTCCAATTCTGTATTTGTTTTTCTACATTATCAATTAAAATTTTTTTTTTTTTTTTTATCTTAAGAGTATTACTAGACTGTGGTAATGTTTTACTAGACAGATTCCTAATGAAATTTTCCATTATTAGGTTGCGGATGAGTGCTTTTGGACTAACCTCTTATGTCTTTCTTGACCTCAGCGGCTCACCTGGCCTTAATGGTCTCTTAGACTGGGTGTCTATAGCCTCAACTCTCGGACCAACTTTCTCTAATGAAAAATTTAATTAGGTTTCTAACTAGTAAACTATTATCTCAGTATAATCATATTATGTTGGATAGACTTTTTTATAGGTCTGGCTCTAATACCATTCAACGCCAAGATCTACCTTTTTCTAAATATTCTTCTAACTATTAAATTATCATTCTAATATAACCTAGATATAATAATATAACAGTAATTACGAATAATGAAAATGGAGCTATATCAATTAATGACCAAGTAGTATAAGAAGTCTCATATATTTTGATGCTAAACACTGCTCTAATTGCATTCTGAACAATAATAACATTCATTTCATTCAAACAAATTGTATACAACAGATTCAGACTATAGACTCAGACTACAAACTAACAGACTGTTACAAGGTATAATTACAAACTCATAACTTATAATAAGAACATGTACATAAAGTGTAATGACAGACACATAAGAAAAGTAAGAAAAACTTACAGTTTGCAAATGCAATAACTACAAAAGGTCTTCCACTCACGTGGACAGTAACTAGGTAGGCTACTGAAGTTACAATCACACATATACTCAAAAAATATCTTACAAAATAAAATAGAAGAGAAGAGAAGAGACTGAGAAAGAGAAAGAGGCGAGAGAGACGATCTTCAGGTGATCTTCAGACTATCAGACTATTTTAGACGATGCCTTCTTCTGAGGAGGAGTGACCTATTTATAGGCCTAGACTTGAAATCTTCTTCAAAACTTCTTAAATTTCTTTTTGCGATGCTTTCCAAGTGGATGGTTGTGATTACTTATTTTAAAGGTTGTCGGCAGACAGATGGATAAGAGAAAAGGAGAGGGAATCTGCTTTTATAAAGGAAAAGGAGAGGGAAAAAGTTGTTGACAGACATGGAGAATCTGCTTTTAAAAAGAAAGGAGAGGGAATCTACTTTTTCTTTTCGAGGTGGCATTTTTGAAAAGGTATTGTGGACAGCTGGTGTTGTTGAGGACAACTGGCATGCACAACATATTGCAGAGGAATCTTGCACAGGTACGACTACTGTAGCTGTCTTGTTTTGGAATAGTCTTCTAGAAACTTTTGGATTACTGGGTCATTAGGCCTAGCCAGGCCTAATATAATGTTTGCTTTTGTGAACATCCATGAGCCGATTGGTCTTCTTTTTCTTCTTCATTATGAATTTGTGTTGTTTCTGCTTCTTCAGTGAATATTTGCAATAACTGTTTTTCAAGTTCTGCTTTTGTGGCTTTAGGGTTTTGTTTTCTTCTAAGAGATATATATTTTGCTAAGCTATTTGGGTTGGTATAAGAATATGATTTATACGCAAGAGGAATTTGTTCATTTGAATATTATCTGGTTCGAGGTTATGGTAGACAAAGACGTCACTCCATTTTATTGAAACTCTTTTCCCAATACATGGAATATATTCATAATTTTGAGTATTATTTTCTGATATTGCATGTTCATTTGAGAATCCAAGGAATTTTATATATAGCAATAAAATATAATTGATAATCTACATTGGGATCTTTCCCCTTATATTCAATGAATCTTGCTTGGGATAATTACAGAGGTTCAGGCATTATTTGGGATCCTGATCCCCATACCGCAAACCAATTACGAAACCAGTTTGGGAAACATTTT